CGCTACCGCGAGCGCTCCAACGGCATCCTCGCGCTCTGATTGGTCAGTGTTTTCCGTTAATATCTCCTCAACGAAGCTTCGGACAACATTTTCGCTAAGGAAAAAGTTGTTTCAAATCACCTTCCGAACCACCTCTTTCAAGGTGTTACAACATTTTTGGGACACCCTGTATAATACAAATAAATATAATACAAATAGATTTCACGATGTGATATAGGTTTACGAATACGATTACGTTTACTTGATACTTACTTTATTTATTCGTATTTGAAGAAAATAATCTGCGCGAGGTGGGCTAGGTACCGGCTGAGCTGCTGTTCCTAAACCTAACATATCAATTTCTAAATAATCCTCCCGCTAAAAAAATAATCTATAAAAGAAAAACATATACAGATATGAAAGAATTCCGCATCGCGAGTGAATTTTGTATCGACCATCGTGTCGATGTGGTTGTAAAACATTTATTGCGATGCTAGGTGGTTGAATCCAGCTGGAACTGTTTTCAAAACTGTGATACTCGTAGGAACGATTTTTATTCGTGTGATAATTGCAATTTAATCGCAAATCGCGTGAATCGAGTTTATATAGGATAGATGATATTCCCTTTTAAGTTTTTAGTTTTATCGCAACAGTACACAATCTAGTGTACACAAATAGTACAGAATCTCGTGTGATACGAAAGATTGGCAAAATTCGTTACTGGAAGAAAAAATTGTATAACGTATGAAAAGTAAACAATTTTCTATCCGTTACTCATATTGGATTATCTGTTACTTCGATAAATATCGCAAATAAATCGCCACGCGTTGATTTTTTTTACGTAATCTACTATACACATCAAATTATGCCCATTTCTGAACGATATCAAAGACTCTTTTATCAATAAATTCTTCGTGCTTGATCCCGTTTAAAAGCACTCTATGTAATGACTACTATTATCGAACTGTTTAAACACATGGCACTATTCATTTTCTCTACGCTATCCTTATAAACGAGCCTAGCTTTTTATATAATAGTCTATACGTTTTAGAATCGTTCAATTGCTTTATTTATTAATACATAATAAAACGTTCGATCGATTCGAATGAAACGAATAGAATATCGATCGATAACTGTGTATCGATTCCAAATGGAATGTATTAACAACCGAAAAAAGAAACATGTCTTCAAATATATACATTGTTTTGCATGCACAGACAAATTTGTGCGAATTCTTATTTACCTGTAGTTTGATTTATTCGTACATGATAATATACGACGATATAATATCTTATAGGTTCATCTAATTTCGTCAGTTCAAATGCCAGAACCGTAAGAGACGACAATATTATCGTCTGATTAGATATCGCACGACGAAAGTACATTAAATATTGCAATAATTTCAGTATAGACTATTCTGTGGAATTTTTTTTACGCTATTTTAACAATACATACATTCTCACGATATTCGATGGCGCGAAATACGGTTAGAATCGGTTAGCATCTCGTGGCGGGGATATCGTTATTCTCAGTAATTCATTCATTCATTGTTGACGATCAAGGGATTCACAACTCTCCCTTGCCTGCTCCTAACGGACACGGACTCTGGAATTTTCCATAGGGCTCGTTTCTTATTAGCGAATTTAGCCGCGATCACGCAGAGGCCTACAACCGGCATCACGCCAAATAAATTCCTGTCTATCGAGCAATGTGTGTGCATGTGTGTGCTCTGGAGTATGCGCAGTAAGAACATCTAAGTCAGGGCAGTACGCTTATATGGGGACAATGGGTCCCATTACTCGTGTCAATTTTTCTAATATTTGTATCTTATCATTTTCGTTAACTTTCTATTGCTTAAACCCCTCTATTAATGTGTTCAATTAAGAATAAGATATCATCAGTTGTTCAAGTAATTATTGATTTATTTTTACAACCTCTATCTCAATTTCCAATAACAATTTTGAATTTTCGAAATAAAATCGAACGTTTATGGCATTAGCATAACCTTTCACTGTTTTTTCCGGTATCTGGACATTAACGTAATATTTCAATTATCCTATTGTAAAATATATAAAAAACAATGATATGTTAAATGACAAGGTTAATGTTTTTTTTAAATGCAAATTTAATCTTCTTTCACCAAACCTATTTTGAAAATAAAAGATATTAATTGATTATGGAATACAAAAAGTAACTCAAGATTGCGATTATTGTGTAATCAATTATCATAAATAATCTCAGTAATCGTTCCTGTCTAATAAATCAGCAGACACATTTAGCTCTGAAATATCACAAGTACAATTGTGAATTCTTACGAAAGTACTCACATAGTAACCATTACTCAATTTCGATTAAAAGTATTTAAATCTATATTATAAATATCTGATAGTTTGAATAAAGGAGGTTTCATTATTATGTCCATATAATTCACGAAATTGCAACAGAACAAGGTCTCATTCTTCGAGATAGATACATGTCTGAAAACAGGCAGGAGGGGCAAGGTAAAGTGTTAGATATAGGACATTTATAAAAGGAGCTCGCTAGTTGAATTTACCGGCATTGTGAATTCAGACGTAGCGATTGGCGACTCGTGGAATCTCAAAAAGTGTCAAGATCCCGTTAAGACATATCTGTGATTCAAGCAATAAAATTATACAAAGTTTCAAAATGGTTTTGAATGTACCAATGATGAAATTTTATAACGGCAACGAGGTGCCGGCTTTTGGTTTGGGAACATGGAAAGTGAGTAATTAAATTTAATATACTTAAACGAAAGTAGAAAATCATTGTTAACTACCTTGTGCTACGCATTCTATCATTTAAAATTATTATATTTGTCTATCTATAATATTCTCGAGTCTATTAACGAGCGCTGAGATCGTATCTCATATATAAACGCGCTTTGCATTCACTATTCTGACAAGGTCATCTTAGAGTCACGGTATTCTTTTTTTTTCTTTAATTCGTCTCGACAATTCTTGTATACATTCGATATATTAAAATTTGAAATATACGAACGGAAAGCATTGAAAATATTTATAAATAATGATATAGAAGTTCCCAACATAAATTTTATGAATTCATAATAGCTTTTTAATGATTTTTCTTTGTATTTGATTACATTGTTGCATAGTTGTACAGTATTATGCAATTAGAAATGAACTTGTATTAGTAACATTGATTCAATGGTATTGCATGTGGAACAAGAGATAAGCTGTTTATCACAAAGCTGATATAGATGTATTATTTAAGAACATACTAGAAAAAATGAATGTATCAATATTGTGTAACATTGTGTTTTAATATATCTCATGTAGGATTTTCTATGTGTTGTACTTCACACTTAACATTATGTTTTAGTCGAAACCTGGTGAAGTTACTCAGGCTGTCAAGGACGCGATAGACATTGGATATCGCCACATTGATTGTGCTCATGTTTATGGAAATGAAAAGGAAGTCGGTGCTGCAATTAAGGCAAAAATTTCTGAAGGTGTTGTGAAGAGGCAGGACCTTTTCATTACAAGCAAACTGTGGAATACTTATCATAAACCAGAATTGGTTGAACCTGCTATTAAAAAGACTCTGGCTGACCTAGGTCTTGAGTATTTGGATCTTTACCTTATTCATTGGCCATTTTCTTACAAAGATGGTGATAATCTCTTCCCTACAAATGCTGATGGCAGTATAGCTCTGAACAATGTAGATTATGTAGACACGTGGAAAGCTATGGAGAGTTTGGTATCCAAGGGACTTACAAAGAATATAGGTGTTAGCAATTTTAATTCTGAACAACTAGAAAGATTGCTTAAAAATTGTACCATTAAGCCAGTTACAAACCAAGTATGTATCAATTTCTAGCTGCATTAACATGTAATAGATACATGTCTACAATGTTTGTGTTTTTACAGATTGAATGTCACCCATACTTAAATCAGAAGAAGCTCTCAGAATTCTGTAAACAAAAGGGTATTCTCATTACGGCATACAGTCCCCTTGGTTCTCCTGACAGACCTTGGGCTAAGCCAGATGATCCAAAATTGTTGGATGATAAAAAATTAGGTGAACTAGCAAAAAAATACAACAAAACACCTGCTCAAGTTGTTATCAGATATCAGGTATACGAAAATATTTTATAATTATTACTTGTATTTGTATGTAAAATTGTTCAAGTGTAACAAATTTTTTAAAAATCTGCTTCAGCTGGATCGTGGACACATAGTAATACCAAAATCTGTTACAAAATCACGAATTGCTCAAAACAGCGAAGTCTTTGATTTCAAACTTACCCCAGAAGATATCGCGTATATCGATACCTTCGATTGCAATGGTAGAATTTGCCCAATGACAGGGTAAATATATTTTTAATTTAGTATTCTTTTCTCATTGCAATATTAATCATATTAATTGATTTTAAAATAAACATTTTCATTTTCCTTTCAGCACGGAATCAAGCCCCCACTACCCCTTCAACATACCTTTCTAAATAATAAATGATCAAGTTAAGGATCAGTATGTACAAATTGGTATTATTGTAAAATTTATGTTGTTTATATGTTCATTTTTTATGTGAAATTCATATAAAATAAATTGCACTTTAATATACATATTTGTGTGTACATTACTTTATAGGCATATTACAATTTCCAAATTGTTTAACGTGTATGTTATTTCTTAATAAATCTGAGAGCAAAAAATTAATCATAACATTGATTCAATTTATTAACAAATTATAATCTGAATCATAAAATAGGGTTATATTTCACATTTCAACAAAATGTAATAAATAAATTCATACATGAAGGTTTTACAAGTAACATATTTTTTAAATACAGTTCTGCCTACTTATCTTATTGAATACATTGAATGCCACTTCATTACTAGTGACCAATACTTCGACGCTTTGACATCGTATCTTCCAGAAAGTTCTTATTCAAGTAAACTTCAGCCAACAATTGTACGAATAATTATTTAAATACCTTTTATTAATTCTCTGGTATTTGTGGTCAACGATTTCTTTACTCGATAAGATACGTTCATCTTTCCACGGATTGTTTATTTGTATATAATCATATAATATAATTATTCAGGATGAAGGGTGCGCAGGAGTCAATAGTCAGAGCAAAACTCCGAGTTAACTTCAACGACAGTTGCGGAAAAAATAGGAAGCTCGCAGACAAGAATAGATAGATAGATCCTTGTCTCTCCGATGATGGTGTGATAGAGAGGATGATACAACAATTGCAGGAGAGACAAAGACAGAACGATGTTAACCAATTGTAATTTTCCAATCAGTTATTAACATTATTTGAGCCCAGGAAACGACCTTTCCGTCTGATTTTTTGTATTAAACTGTTCCTGGTAAAATTCTGCAATTTCGCGTTTGAAACATGATAAAAATACGTTTAGAGGCAAGACATTTTTTGTAGATCTTTTTTCAGAAAGAGGAATACAACGCGCGCTGCGAATTTTACAAGCAACAGTTTAATACAAAAAATCAGACGGAAAGGTCGCTTCCTCGGCTCAAAAAATGTTAATAACTGATTGGAAAATTATAAATGGTTGACATCGTTCTGTCTTTGTCTCTCTTGGAATTGTTGTATCATCCTCTCTGTCACAGCATCATTAGAGTGACAAGGACCTATCTATCCTTATCTCGGAGCTTCCTACTTTTTCCACAACTGTCGCTGAAATCAACTCGGAGTTTTGCTCTAACTCCTGCGCACCCTTATGGGTTAGAGTTTGTAGCAGTAATTGTAATTACACTTTTGTATTAGAAAAATAAAACTGTGTTGTTAATTGTTAATACGTTTTGTTGTGATATAAGTGTTTAGTTTCTTAACTGATTAGTATTGTACGTGCCATTGGTCGAATTTGTTTTAACGTTTTTATTACTTACTAATCGTTATAATTTGAATATTATTGGGAATGTTTCATTAAATAACCATATTCTAATTAATTTACTAATAAAATTTTATTTCCTAGTATAATGGATAATTTAGTATATTCACCAAAGTAAAGAGTGAAACTTCAATTGGTTTTCCTTGTTCATTTTTTTTAACAGTTTTTAATAAAATATTTACAAACTAATAAGTAAGGAAGTATCTAATATTTGTATCATCATTTAATTTTGCATGGTATTTCAAAATACAATTAGTAGGAAGATTTAGGTTATGATCCAATCAAACCAGTGTTGAGCATTAATGAACAATTAGGAATAGTGGATAGATAACCTTTTTTTACATCAATGACAAATATCCTGTTGTTTAAATAAGAGTTTGCTCGAAAAATATTAAGTTAACAAATTTGTGTTTAAAAAATATTCATGTATTTCTAGCTAAATATTCTATAGTTTTCAAATGAAATAAAAGATGTACTTGTGAGGAATATATCTTGCATGCAAAGTATAGTATTATGTGACCAGTGATAAATAAATTTGTATTTTGTACATAGTGAATGTTACTTTTAATGTTTAAGATTTAATTATTTAAGTACATATATATCAATAACCTGTATTTTAAAATCACACATATAACTTTCAGCAAATATTATTAGTCCATAAGATGGCTGATTCCAGTGACTTGGATCGGCAGATAGAACAGCTGAAAAAATGTGAAATTATCAAAGAAGCAGAAGTCAAAGCTCTTTGTGCAAAGGCACGCGAAATTTTAATTGAAGAAAGTAATGTGCAGAGAGTTGATTCTCCAGTTACTGTACGTTTTTCTAAAAAGAAATGCAAAAAGGAATTGTTAACACCATAATATATGAAATATGATATTTTTCAGGTATGTGGAGATATCCATGGACAATTCTATGATTTGAAAGAATTATTTAAAGTTGGCGGAGATGTTCCAGAAACAAATTATCTGTTCATGGGTGATTTTGTCGACAGAGGATTTTACAGCGTAGAAACATTCCTCCTCCTTCTGGCATTAAAAGTAATTAAAAAGAATAATCTAACAGTTTTATAGGATTATAACAAATTAATATCTAAAAGAAATACTGTAATTATCGTTACAGTTGCTAATGTAACTGTGATTACAGGTTCGCTATCCTGACAGGATTACATTAATAAGAGGAAATCATGAATCCCGGCAAATTACACAAGTTTATGGTTTTTATGATGAATGCCTTCGTAAATATGGTAGTATTACAGTTTGGCGGTATTGTACAGAGATATTTGATTATTTATCTCTCTCTGCTATTATCGATGGAAAAATATTTTGTGTTCACGGAGGATTATCTCCAAGTATTCAAACACTGGATCAAATAAGAACTATAGACAGGAAACAAGAGGTAAATAAAAAATATTTAAATACCGAATAAGATAATGAGACATTAAATACGATATAAAATGCTAAAGTTAAAAATAATCTATTTTAGGTTCCACATGATGGACCAATGTGCGATTTACTTTGGTCAGATCCTGAGGATACTCAGGGTTGGGGAGTTTCACCACGTGGAGCTGGTTATCTTTTTGGTAGCGACGTTGTAGTACAGTTTAATACTGCAAATGATATTGACATGATATGCAGAGCTCATCAATTAGTTATGGAAGGATATAAATGGCATTTTAATGAGACTGTTCTAACTGTTTGGTCAGCACCTAACTATTGCTACAGGTATATGGATTTTATTTTAAGTTTAAATAGCTACTCACTATTTCGCGTCAATTAGAAGTAAGTTCTAATTTTTGTATGGATTGTAATAAATTCTTTTTTTTTTTTATAGATGTGGAAACGTGGCTGCTATATTAGAATTAAACGAACACCTTCAACGAGATTTCACAATATTTGAAGCGGCACCACAAGAAAGTCGAGGAATACCCAGTAAAAAGCCTCAAGCTGATTACTTTTTATAAAACAAATTTCCATTAAAAATGACTGTATAAACCAAAACATCTCCAAATATTTAAAAAAAAGAAAACCTTAAACGATTGCATGATATGTATTTAAATGGATGTAAACATGTCCAATAAATATGAAAGCAGCTTGATTCTGAGAGTATAATAGGTAAATGACAAAGTTGGTGGGTTTTCAACCTAATGCTACCAATGGACTGCTAATGATACTGAATATACCACTTTGATATAATAAATATTATAAATACATGTGTTTTTACTATCATATTTCGATTAGTAATATCTTAACCGATATTCAACTTCTTATTATGCATTACATTATTTTACTTTTAGTGTGTAATTAAAATTCACATTTGTATTTGCATTATTATAATAAGGAATTTATTATAATAGAACAATTTTAAACAACACAAGAACAAATATTAAATTTAATTCAAATGAAAAAAATGTCACCCTTTTAATATCTGCTCATTTAATTTTTATAAAGTTAACTCGAGTTAGAGTTTATCAGTAAATTTGTTATATTTAATATACCGATGTATTTCATATTACCATTGTTGTAAATATTAAATTTATCCTTGATCTATGTAGAAAATAATTTAAATAGTTTTCAATAAAAGTATAATTTAACATTTAAGTTGCATAATTTAACACAATGTATTTGTAATACGATACAACTTGATCATTGAGAAATTAAAACAAACTTATGACAATCAGTAATGTGAAAATAATGTAAAATATACATTATTAAATATTAAAATATTGTATTAAATATAGCAATACTTTAGACTTTGTCTACAATTTTGTATGTGTTTAAATTTCAAATAATATGTAGATTGACATTGAAAATTGACAATGATTCGTTTATTTTAATCAACATAAAAAACAAATTAATTAGCCCATACTTAGATTTCGAATCGCATAATTATAATAAGTATAATCCCATATAATGACTGAAATATTTAATTACCGTATTAAATTTTCTGCATTTATAAGAAACGCAACAACAAATAATTGAACCAGGGTTCGGAATTGTAGGGAAACGTTCAGTGTTACCAGATTCGGTTCCCACTCGCGCATGCGCATCAAAAAAAGCTGAGCGCGCAGTGCTGTACCTATAGAAAACAATGTATGATCCCATAGCAACGGTTGACATCAAAACCAGGAAAACCGTTTTTTCTAGTTATAAAAATGTGTTTTGTCTGTAAAATTACTCAAACCCTATCACTATATTATAATTTATTCACACAATTAATATTATTGCATGCTAAGAAGTATTTCCAATTTTCATTTATACAGGGTGTCCCAAAAATGTTGTAACACCTTGAAAGGGATGGTTCGGGAGGTGATTTGAAACAACTTTTTCCTTAGCGAAAATGTTATACGAGGCTTCGTTGAGGAAATATTAACGGAAAACACTGACCAATCAGAACGCGCGTATACCGTTGGAGCGGCCGCGGTAGCAAAGGCTACGAGGTAAGCGGCCCCGACTTGTACGCGAACAAGTGACTCAACGTGCATCGAAGGACATTCACGCGGCCGCTTAGCTTGTAGCCTTTGCTACCGCGGCCGCTCCAACGGTATACGCGCGCTCTGATTGGTCGACGTTTTCCGTTAATAGCTCCTCAACGAAACCTCGTACAACATTTTCGCTAAGGAAAAAGTTGTTTCAAATCACCTCCCGAACCACCCCTTTCAAGGTGTTACAACATTTTTGGGACACCCTGTAATTCAAGTTTTCTTTGGAACGACTAAGAGCGCCAGTTTCAGGTATAATGGTGCTACAATACTTAGTTTACGGACCATTCGCACGCAGCGCTAAACTTGCGTCGCCTACTATTAGGAGATAGTGTCCTTTTTACAGATTCCTCGCTCCATCTTTCCCTCTCTTTTTCTCTTCTCCCCCTCCTGATATCCTACAGTTCTACTTGGTTCTACTCTTCCTCTCGACTTCTCGAAGATTTGCGCGTATCGAGTCGAGTCTAACATCCATACGTACCGACCTAAACTTCTCTATTTGCATGACAACACAGTGCTCGGTGAACCATTCGCTACGTAAATCACATTCACGTTTCTTCGTCAATTATTTCGCAAACTTTCAACGAACATTTTTCCAGTTTTTTTTTTCTTCTTTTTGTTTGTTGTCTATCTCGGTTCCTCTTTCCCCTCTTGGGTACGCGAGTGCGTGAATAACAGATAGTGCAACGGAGTTCGAACATCGATGCATCAATACTGAAGATTCCCGGTGGCGACAGTATCAGAAAATATTTTCCGTGTGAGGTTACATGGACTCGTTGAAATGTCGTGGCCCATCAAACGGCGGACTCACGATTAGCACAGGTGAGTTAACATTCGTGTACCTAACTGGTGGGTCTTTTACTACGGGAATATGCGTCTTTCCATTGGTTCGAACGAGCAGGTATGCCTGATCGTGGCTGATTCGATTATTTTAGACGATGACGTGCTGCTTATCTATGTACAACCAGCGACTCGGATTCGTGCCGTTTGAGGGGAATATAGTACGCTAATCGTAGCTCCTCCTTCACGGTACACTTCCCTCTTGTTGCGCTTTTAAAACTATAGCGTTCCACCGACGACGCAACGTGGGTGAAGAACTATCGATAGTTCAAAACAAACCATCGATAATTAAGTTTAAACAATTTTTTAAATTAAAATTACCATATCAAATACTATTTCAAATAAGCCACTTGTTGTCGTTTAAAAATGTTAACATTTAAATACTTGTCCTTAAGTCTCGATTGTCTTTCTAAAATTATGTTCTTTCAGATTAAACAAATTCTGTGATTATACAAAAATACTTGAAACACAATTCACAGATTTTTACTGCCATTGATCTAAGAAAAAACTGATTTTAAAGAATGAAATTAATTAATTGAAAGTAGATTGTACTAATTTTACCAATTATATACCTTCTAATATAGTAATGGGTCACAAATACTTCTGTTTTATAATTATAATGTCTACTGATTATGCTTGTGTTATCTATTATGCTACTGCGAACTGTCATATTCAAAACTAAAACACCATCCAAGTTGACAATTCAAGTTGAGTGAGTTTTATATTTGTACTTGCACTTTTTAATACAGTAGAACCTCATTTATTCAAACAGGTATAGGAACAAGCCAGTTCCGATAACTGAGTAGTTTAGATAATAGAGGTCAAACTAGTGTACTTTCATACTTAACCATGGTCCATACAATAGAATCTTAACTATAAGTTTGTGAATTCCAAGCTGAGCACGATTTTGTTCACATAAACAACGTTCGACTGTATACCTCTCTTTATAACTTGGGTACCTTGGGATTTCTAAACCCATACTGTAGTAACAATCAAAAATAGCTACAGCCCCTGAGGGCTTTTAGACATCGAGGCATATCGCAAATCCTTTAAGAAAAATAGTATCTTTCAACATAATTCTACTTTTAATTGTTGTTTCAGCATTTTCTTTGATGGTAGTACTGATTTCTTATTTGCCTAATTCGCTCCATAACCTTATTCCAAAGTAAAACTTGCAAAGTGTCCGAATATTGAAGTTATACACTATATGTACTTTGTATACATTAGCACATGTTTTCCACATTTACATACCCAATAAATGTATAAAATCCGCAGCTAATAATCATAGATTACATTAAATTCCATTTTATTTGACACTAACTCTCTGCTCCGATTCTCTGTACGAACATCAACGAATATTAATCGCTAAAGTAACGCCATCTAGCGTTTCAACCGAATAACAAAAGGAAGCATACTTCGAAGTAGGAGGAACTGCGTTAGTGTGTTATGTTCTCAAACGCCACTAATCCGTGTTGCTGGAGTCTCTTCGACACCTTTATCTCTCTTCTGTTCACGCTGCATTCCTTCGATTCATCTGTGCGATATTAGAGTTAAACAAGGTATGTACTACCGTCAGGGGCGGATCTACCTTGAGGCTAACAAAGTAAAGCTTTGGGACCCTTGCGCGCAAAACGTTTGAAAGAACTCCTTATTTATTAATTTTTCAATTTCAGTGTTCAATAGCCGTAGAAGAAAATTTCTTTTTGACTTGAAAAACAAATTATCTTGTATTCCTGTAAATAATCCGTTAATTTGTTTTCATTTTAGAAAAGGAAAGGGACCCTCAAAATAATTAACTTCAAGTCCCGATAAGTCTAGATCCATCATTGACTACCGTTTACATTCGTTCGTATTTTCTAATTTTCAATGGCTGGAAAATTAATCAAACAAACGAGACATTTTCGATGAACAATTTATCGATGCAGTAAGATGCAATAGATTGTTATAGGATGTCTAATATTATTTTCCGTTGAAACATTATCCAAACTTGTTTACAAATTACAAAATGTTGAAAATATAAGTACAGGAAAATAAATGTTAAATTAATTCTCTGGTGAAATCAGTAGAACGTTAACAATGCGATTATTCTACTTTACAACGAAGATGTTCGGATTAGTTTTGTTTCGACATAAAAGGCGATTTTACAGTTACTTTCAAACGAAAAGAACCACCTACGCCCAATTTGTTCTTACGAATGAGTTTATCCGCTGTCTACGTCCATATCAAGTTAAATCTGCAGACAGATCTTTGTTTCTCGAATCATTTTCTCGAAAGTATTTATATCGTTGCTGTATTATTTTTATGATACTCGATTATTTGAATTTAATATTCTATGTAATTTCATAATAAATTATACTATATTTGTTTGTAAATATGTATATTATATTAAAGGTTAACCAACAGTAAATAATATGACATGTAATAGTATATATTTTTTCCAATTAATTAATGATTTTATAATTTCGAACAATTACGTAGGTTTTTTCCTATGTATATATACATTTAGAATCTTTTATAATTAATTACGTATTTCAATTATTATTCTTTCCAAGTTTTTCAAAATATTACTAACATTTATTAAATGCAAATTCATCGTTTTCAGACAAATTTATCCCAAAAAAGTGTAAAACCATCGATCTCAACTAAATTTAACTTTCGCTACTTGCATTCAACTACAACTCTGATAGTTACAAAAATAAATTTACTTTGATAAAATACCAATAAATTGTTCATTACACTTTCAAAACGTCGTTTATCGTTATAAATTGTTCTT